CTAATAATAATCCTACTAACAGTTGCTTGAGATATATTAGACAGGTGGGAAAGGTGGGTTTCTGCAAATCGCTGTCTCAAGCGACACAAATTGAGAAAAAATTACTCTTGTGGTTTGAGCAATCTTGGTCTACCCCTCTTTACACCTACCTGCGGTGGAGACACATAGTGTTCTGAGGGTATCTTTCGCCTGACAACCAGTATCTGACATTTTCTCCATTATCTCCCGGATCTAAATATTCAAAGGATGCCAAGAATGTTTTGTAGTTAGGAAAGCCTGTACAAAACAACATTGCCTCATCGGAGGTAAATCGACTAAGTGAGAAGACATTTGACTGAAATGCTTGATTTTTGTCTTTCAAATCTGCAACTGTCTTCTCGAGATTTGCGCATTTTTTTTCAAGTAGCCTTAATGGTATACGGACCCCATTAAGATATTTCTCAGTGGAAGGCATTTCATTAAGACTGGTACTGGCGGCTCTTAATATAGTATTTTCATTAGTACCTGTTTCAGGAATATCGTTTGCTGTTTCAGGTGTTTTTCCAGGCTCCGAACACACTGAAAAAGACTCTTTTTCTGGGACAGATCTCTTCTCTTTTCGCAGTCGTAGATACGGCCTCTCGGTAGGGGAAAGTCGCTTTCGTGGTGAGGTTTGTTTCCAAGCAAATATCGACGGAACTGCATTTTTGTTCAGAGACATTCGTCCACCAAGACCCTTTGATATGTCACTAAGCTGGAAATCTAACGAACACACTTTTAATGCCTCGGAGATGCGAAAAAAGCTACCAACATCTCTACGTAAAGCATGTATCCAACGTTTCTTCATTTCCTCTACGTCTGGAAACTTGAAGAATCCAATTAATTCTCCTTTCGGTCCGACACGCCCATTTTGTGCGCACAATGGTACGCAACAGTGAATATTTGACTTCGACGCCATGTTTATTGCGATACCTCCTAAGCCTCGTTTTGGTGAACTCGGCTCAGGTCTTAACCACGCGTCCGCCATTTATGAATAAGGCGCATTGTTCAACAGAAACAAGCATATGAAATAGGAACTGTAGAGCCCAAACAAAAAAATTAAACTTTTCGTGCCCGTAGAGTCGATCGTCGAGTTGGTGGTCAACGGAGGTATATTTGTTTGGTATGGTAAATTGGCCATCGCAACGATTACAAAAGCTGACGTTTCGAGCATTAGCCCTTCGTCGGAGGGAATAGAGGAATTGTGGGTTGTGTGCGCTTTTAAAGGCAGAAAATGGAGCTACGTTATCGGTGGACCACCAATAACGTAGTGTAATCGTTACGGTGGCCAATTTACCATTCCAACTTTGTTGATATATCCTAATTATTTCGTTACCCCTATTGACGCAGCCCCAAACAGTTTCTTTAGAAACTATCAGCCTTTATATATTTGTCTGGTAGTTCGGGGGTAAAAAGGGTAAAAACATGGCAACTGTGCCACGACACCCCTTTTTAATACTACTGGCAAACGTTCCATCAGTAATTTTTAACCGACCTTTTTGAAATTAAAGATTAAAAATCTCTCCATACATTTCTTTATAAAATTTGACGCCGATTTTAATGTTACATTTCTAAGTAACCGCTTACGTTACGCGGGCGCTCGGCCACAATAGTTGAGGATGGAATACAAAAGACTGTGCGCAGTCAGGGTGAAGTCGACCCAATATAGATCAAAATTATAGCTTTTTCTTTTTTATCTCCATGGTTATGGGGCTTATGTCATAATTCTCAACTTATTTCAACCAATATGCGGACGGACAAGTATTGTTAGGAAACAGTGAGATCTTTCGTGTTGATTGCCAAATGATTTACCATAGCTCTTGCTGCCTAGTGTCATATTACAACATTTTAGTCCATGTCGTTTCTAGAAATGAAAAAAGTTGCTGCTGACCCTTAGCCACACTATGTCATTTTTTTTCCTTTTCTTTTAGCTGTTTAATTGATTTCCCATTTTTTTTTGTTTGAGGGCGTTAAAGATATACCTTTCCTTTGGGAAAAGCGAGGTGTTTAACAACAACAAAAAAAGGGTGCATTTGGAATTTACAGCTGCAGAGGGATGAGACCAAATAAGGAAAGATAGGACTCGACATTATACTATTTTTGATGTCACGAATATTCATGAACTTCAGTTATCTTCACAGAAGGGCTTAGTAAATCATATGAAAAAAATCAAAGGAAACTGTGAATAAGTCGTGGATACATTGCGTTTGAACAAGTTTTGAAGATAGTTCATTTCCAATGGGTAACTCCCGGGTACAATTGAAAGTACTCGGTATTACTTTAAACAGCTAGGGTGACGTCGGGTGAATGGTCAGAATTCATATTTTAGCTATCGGTCAGAAATGCAGACTAGGTATAAATTACAGACTGCAAACCGGCTACGAAATGCAGAATAGGTACAAAATGCAGACTGCAAACCGGCTAGGTAATGCAGAATAGGTACAAAATACAAACTGCAAACCGGGTATCAAATGCAGAATAGGTACAAAATACAGACTTCAAACCGTGTACGAAATACAGAATAGGTAAAAAATGCAGAATGCAGACTGGAAATTCTCAAAACTGTCTTTTCTTCTGATACATAGTAACAGATGTCATCTTACAACTTACCGAATGTCACGCAATCGCCTTTTAGCGATCACTTACATGATTATTTGCACTATTTAAAGAGCAGTGTTTCTGTCGAGGAGCTATCGGCTGATAGTTGCCCCGAGAAACGAAGCTTCTAGCTAACTTCGCGGCCGTCAAACTATTTATTAAAAAAATAAATAAAAAAATTACGACGTAAAATCATGAACTTTGGCAGAGAATGTTTTATTAAAGACTTTAGAAAACTACTTTTTAGACGTCTTTTTAGGCAGACTGTCCGTAAAAGTTGAAAGTACAGTTTTGAAAAGAACCGATGAAAAGTTCTGGGCCGCGCCGGTTTGGTGAACGCCAATATTGGACTGTTGATTAATGCAGCGAGTTTCGTCCTGGCTCTGATTTTGCTGCAGTGTTCCAAGAGGACTTAGTGACTGAGCGGTGACTCTGAGCGCCAGTTGCAACAGCTTGGCTTGCTCTCACTGGACCCACAAAATTGCTGATTATGGCTGAGGACTGCAGTTGTTAAATTGTCAGTCTTTCGCGGTACGAATCGAGCGACGCCTCACTTTTGTGGCCAGTAACACTTCTTACTCACGAATTCTCCAGGCCGGCTGCTTTGAGGATGGTTACTGATGCATGATGTCGCCCGAATACAGTGAGTGCGATGCGAAGTGAGTAGACAGACTAGCTTTCTTATTCATGCGGCCGAGTAAATCTTGCGAAGAGTTTTTCCCTAAAGGGACATTGCAGTGCCGCACCGCGTCGCTTTCCTAAAATTCGCCGGTGCTGTTGTTACTTGGCCTTTGCCATAAGGTGAGCAGCTGGGGTTTCGCTTCTTCAAATACTTTTTTATACATATGACTGTACATCTTTCCGTATTGTCTGGTCTCTCATAAATTATGGCTTGTGAATTATCCACGTTGTCACGGAGGCCGCCAGGATGAATTTTTGTCGCTCGCTCTCGAAGGGCAATATATTCCAGGCCGTTTGCGATTTTTCTGAAAACAATTTCTTCCTTTACCATATTTCTCTGGTTTCTCGGCCTCGCCTGCCAAAGAAGAGCATCAGATAGAACCAAGCAGTCTGTACTAGACTTTTAGAATTGTCGTTTCCTAACTGCTTCGCCGTGAACAACTGCTCCACATCTTCCCGCTCTAAGGCTTACTTGTGTTTTGTAGATGACAACGACCCCGTCTTCGCCAAACTTTTTAGGTGGTAATCTAAGGCCTCTTTAGATAGAACAAAGACTTTGTTGTGTATGATGGAAAATACTTTCGTGTGTGGAGCTTGACTCAGGTACCGTTCAAGACCCGCTCGAATGGCTTTCATGGAGTTTCGCGAATAGCGTTGCCCACTAGCTGTACGTGCCCCCACGTAAAATTTGCGAAGGACTCCAGCAAGTCTTTCTGCTGGAAACTCTTCAATGCTTTCCGTTATTCCTTTCTCTCTAGACCAAGCTTAAAGGTAAAAACAATTTCACTGAATTTAACTTTTATTCGTTGTTGTAGTTTCTTGGTGAATATCTTTTAATTCGTCAAATGCATTGTAACTTTTGAAACAAATATGTCCTACTAAAAGTTTCATTACCTTCAAAAATTTCAACCTCATACGAAGTCGCCTCCTTGGTTTTTTGGGGTATTCCCTCAATGACAAGGATAATCACATCTTCGCTGACCTCGGCGGATCGAGTAGCCTTACTTGTTACAACGAAGCCTGCTTGTTTAGCACAGAAAATTTTTCACGGAACAGATGAGACGTAAAACCACCAGGAAAGTAAACAGTTGGCCAGCCACGAAAACAATGCTTCGCTTTCCCCTATAAAGACTCACCGGTTACTCATTTTAACGATATACAACGATAGAAATACTGACGGCTCGCAGGGAGAGGAATGAAAGCTTGAAATTGTATTTAAGAACGACTGTAGCCTGGACGCTTTGTAAAAACAAAATATACCCGGAACGGCGAGGAATATTCCACAATAATGCAAATGATGGCGAAAGATGATCGCGGAAAAGCGATTGCATAAGGCGTATTTACTCATAGTTACACCTTAGTCTTTCAAAGAGCTTTGACTCGGTTACACATATGCTAACTGCGACGAGTATTTTAATTAAAATCGAAGTCCATCGAAGAAAGACAGAGTTAAATTTTAACGTCGCAGCATTACTTCGGAAATGTGATAGAGGCAGCATTCCCGTATGAATTCGGAAGCTCGCTATTAATTGGGCTGCCGTCGACATATCGATTTGTTTACATCTGAGTGAGAGACACATTTGCATATTCTGCCCCACGACAAAAAATCAAATCAGTAAGCATGTATGTATGTATCAGTTATTTTTATTCTTTTTTTCCGATAAGGACGTGACACAAAAATAGATCTAGATTATGGTACTTACGGCCAGCTGATTGGTGCAGATAAAACATGAAAGAAAAGGAAAAGTCAATCAAATTTTCTTTTTATATGATTAAGATACCACTAAGACTGTATAAGCTTCAGCGGTAAAATTTAGATGTTGTTTATCATGATGGGTGACACAAACTAGCATGTAAAAGAAAAATTTGTTCGTAAGCCCTGTCTTCAGCAATTTAGTTTCGCCTGCGTTGTGAACGGTTTATTTACTTTTTCCCGGTCAAATTGATGTAATCAGGCAATGTTGATGGGTCGATGACTATATTTCTATATTAGCTCTTTTTCAAATTAATATACCAACGCTTGAGGAACTCAGTATACCCGAGAAAACCCGTAGTATTCATTCAAAGCATAACATTTGTCTGCTTTCAGAATAATTTACATCGAGCATTTTATGTTGCAAGATATAATTTGTTGTTTCCTGTCGCCAACTGAATGCATTTGCAATTGAGTTTGCCGGCCGCTAAGATACAAATGATCAGGTCATCTCGTACATGAAATCGCAGACATCTTGTTCTGCTTATTACAGTTTATATCATTTGTTTTCATGGTAACTTTCACCATCACAAAAATCTCTTTCATACCATTGAGGCTCTTCATTCAAATGAAAGATGAACGGATATGACAGCATTTGACCAATAACCAACCATTACTGTAAAACTACCTTCCCACATGATAACATTATGCGCCAAGGCTTTATTTTGCTATTAGGATATGGTCTTGTAAATTGGGCTCTTGATGCACAATTTTTTTCTTTCTTCATTTCTTTTGGAAAAAAAAGGTATTTGCAAGTCAGCATGATTATTATTATTTTTTGTAATACTTTTAGGGTCGAAAAAGCACAGCCCATGATAAATGTTAAAATATATACAAGAATTTAAAAACAAATTAACTACACTACTTACTGCATTGTTCGTCTGATCCATCACTACAGTCCCTGTACCTATCGCAGCGTTCAGACGCATGGTTACACTTTTGTTGATTTGCACAAGTAAACTGATCGCCTTCACAAGTTACTATGAGATGATGAAAAGAAACACACGAATTGTGACAAATCGTTTACACTTCATGCACATTAAGGGCTACATCACGACTCATGCAAGCGCTGTCACAATTGAAAACCCCATAAATAGGCGGTTAGCAGTTTATTTTCAGGGATTGATCTTTTGCGGCTGACATTGTGAAGTTACATTTCATCAGAGATCAAGATTGATCTCTGCGCGGTTTTTTTTTTTTTATGGAAGGCACTCGCGATGGGTCGGAGTACTCTTAATGACGACGCGTTTGACCTTTTTTCAGACTTAGCTGCAGAAAATATCTTGATAGCACAGAATTTCTGCATTTCTTTCTTGTCAAAGTTTTTGTTACCTTTACTTATTGACATTAAGCATGTTGTTTTTTATGATAATTTGTTTTTTCAATAAAGCTAACTTCCCTGGAAAGCTGTTATTCTTGTGTTATGTCGATTTCCCGATAATGCGAGTTCGAGTGAGCTTTTATGCTTATTTGTATTTGATGCTTTAGACTGGCAGAATATAGCCGTCAGATTGTCAGATTATGTCTTCGTCGATTGAGAAAGCCCTGAAATTTATTGAAACTCTCAGAAAAGGATCAGAAGGAAAAGGGTCTACATTATAAATTGCAAGGAAACAGTTGCCGCTGACCCTCGACTTCTTCAATTCTTTTTTTTTGTTCTGTCCTTTTTTTTAAGGTCGGTTTGCTCTCTCATTTCCCTTAGTATGAGTGTATCGACTAATGGTATTTTGTTGAGGAAAATGAAAAGTTTATTCTAAAAGAAAAAATAAACAACAAGAAAAAAACTGCGGAGGACTGAGAAGGGATAAGTAAGAGACATAATAATGATTTTAATAAATTTCAGCTGTTAAAAAAGCAAAGGAATTTTAAAATATAATTCAAATAAGTGAACAAATTTATCAATTTGATGTTGGTGTTATTGCTTTGCATTTATCTTTTCATGCAACTTCCCTATCAAGCACTAGCTGACTTTGCTTTTTTTTTTATTCTTCCTCTTAAGAAGAGAAAGAAGCTTTTTTTCACTATTACGATCGCGATCATGTTCAATTTCAGATTTCTTCTTTATGGCTACATGCAAACTAATCGTAAACCAAAAGACAATTGTGTAAGGCGCATTCATAATACAACATTCGTTTAATGCTGCTACTATAGAAATATGTATGGAGACGATACAAATAAATATAAATCTAAGGTCCCTATCGTTAGCTGATTGGTGCAGGTAAAAGAAAAGAAAAAGAGGAAAAGTTAATCAAATGATCAGATAGTTTTATGACAATACCACCAAACTCCATTCAATTTGCGGTAAAATCATAATTTCATTAACCAAGGGAGACAACAATTTATGTGTGAAGAAGAATTTATCCGTGAGCTCCACATTCAGCATTTGTTCAAGCTCCGCCCCCAGACACCGCTCCAGTCACCAACCAATCACAGCGTTTTAGAAAAAAAAGTGGCGCGAAGTGCTTTGTATACAAGCCACACGCGAGGCCAATCCCACACGCTGAGTAAATCTCATAAATGACATTGATTGTATGCTATTGTTTACAGTTGTTATTTAGGGTCAATAGTGTTTGTATCCCCTAGTTTATTTCAATTTGTGATTTTCAATACCCAATCGATGCATTTCCTTTGCCTATAGCTCAGATGGCTCGTTCGCAATTAAACAAACGGCCTCTTGAATAGCACTGTCCATACAACAGCATTATACAACCACCGCACCATGATATCACGTGACCTATCGAGTAGCTCCGTTCATATATGAACAGATGAACAGCTTGGACAATAGTGTGGGCATAGGCGTTATTTTCTCGCGCCCCTCTGTCCGAACGTATTAATAACCACTAGCCTTTTACCCGAGATGTGGTCTCTTTTTTTTTTTTTTTCTGCCTTTTTTCTTCTATAATGTCGGTATCACATGGTTATTTGATTTCGACCTATCGTCACAAGTAGTGAGTGAATCATTTCTGTCAAAATTTATAGACATTACAATGAGTGGCTTATAGGTCTTTTTAAGTAACAAGTTGAGTTCTCCAAGTTCTTTTTTTCAGACCCAGAAAAGCATGTTCCGAATAGGGTTGGAATATTTGTTTTTAATTTTCTCTAGCAGGTTAAATTTTCACATGCAAATATTCCGTTTACTTATCAGGGTAGAGGTGATATCTAAACATAACCTAATATTACTGTAACATACTCGCAGTTGTGAAGGGAACAGCTACCAGCATGAGCAATAGAACAGCCTGGGGATCCATTACAATCTATGTGGAAAGTCAAAAGGTTATTTAATTTATTTATCATATATTTTTTTTTTTTTTGGGGGGGGGGGAAGAAATTGGTGGAGGAGAGCAAAAACTACAATTACCTGCTGAGTGTCGTGAAGTCAAGATAAGCATTCCCACCGATAAAGAAGGGGGAAAAAGAAATTGTTGCATCTTACAGACTATTAAGAGGATTTCTATAGATATATGAAACCATTTCTAGGACGTAATTAAATTGGAGAGAAAAATCTCGTCTTTTTAAACTGTTGTTTGACAAATGTCGTGTGGAGCCAATAAAAAAATACTGAGCGTATATTTAAGATATTACGGCTCGTATGAAACTGACAATGTGAAAGTATAGAGATTTATCTATTTATAAATACATTTTGATTTAATTGTATTACTTTGCGTCACAGTGTTCTGAAGCCACCTAAAGTAGCTTCCGAATAAACAAGTTTCATACGGGTTTAAGTTTCATATAGATACTACTTCCAACTACTACTTCCAACCGGCTCATTACAACAATTTAGAGTACGGTAATTGAGACTTCTCAAAATGAATTTTGACAGAGTGCAGAAATATGATATAATGTAATGATAATCATAATTTTGTTGATAATCATGATGATGATACTTGCAATAATAAAATAATAAAAGTAACAGCTCAATGAACAATAATAAATCATTTAGGAAATAAAGCACACTTTCTAACAGTTCATACGCGTTATTTATCAAGCTTGTTCGGACAGGATGGCTAGATATTGGCCGGGTTTTCTTTTTTTTTTTGTGTGTGTGTGTGTGTGTGTGTGTGTTTTGTTTTTGTTTGTTGTTTGTTTGTTTTTTTCTTGTTTTGACAGTCTTCCACTTAGTTGCTGACATTTTCCAAAAGCTACAAACTTTGTAGGTCCGCTCCCCGCACTTTTTTTCTTGCACGATATAAAAGCGGGCAGTCTTGAGCGGGCCCCATCTTGCCCGCACGGGTAGCCAATCATAACACATGATCGCCTCGTCCTGCCTGCGGGCGCCGCCAGCTAAAAAATAAACTGCGGTAATAGACCGCGCGGGATGATGGAAAAAAAAAAAAAAAAAAAAAAAAACTCGAGGTGCAGCTAAGTGGTTTACAAACTCTGCATTCCTACTTTTTTTTTTTTTGTTTTCTCTCTTTTCCTTTCAGTTTTTTGTTTTAATTTTGGTTCTCTTCCTTTTTAATGAACTGCTTTAAGATGAAGTGCTTCAGTTATTTCCTTTTTTGGCAAGAGGAGAAACACGTGAACGTTCGAATATAATTCAACTTCAGTCGACCACTTGGATCTAAAACTAATGAAGACCATAGAAGCAACGCTTATTTTACTAGCATTAATCTGAAATAAAGCATACAGAAGCAAATTACTCTAAAACAGATATTGACCCAAACATGCTTTATACACAGAGATATGGTATTAACACAACATTAATATTATGTTTGTCAAAGCCGTTTCTTGGTCAGAATTAGAATCACTATTGGCATAATACTAAAGAATGCCTCTTAAAAACAAACAGCTTAAAATAGTTATTTAACAAGGAAAGAAAGGAGCAAAACGATGGGGAAAATTTTCACAGAACCGAAGTAGTAGAGATGATGATCGTCGGCGACGATTAATTATACGCGGCACCTCATCAGCAGGTTAACAACCGAATTATAAAACGAGTAACGATGTTCTCAATACTCCAGATGGAGCCAAAATAAATAACAAAAGATTACCTTTATCAAGGGTGTTTCTCTGAGAATCAATAGATTCTAGCTAAACAAAGTCGAAAGTGGCTGAATATAAATATTCCTTCCGTGGTGACACAAACCAACAAAAAGGAAGACTGTGCTGTTTACTTTGCATAAGGATGTATTTCAGAATCCAATAATCCAGCCAATAAGAGGACACGAACATTGTGGGCTTGCAACCGTCTGGAGAACTAAATTAACTTCTGAATAAACAGTTTTATGGAACTAAAGCAGTATTATAACTTTTTTCTGTGATAATATTCAATCCAGCACGTTGGAAAAGTTACATCTACTTACATGGAGAGTATCTGAGAAATCGTATTGTTAGTGGAGAGTTTGTGAAAGCACCTTTACGCATGAAACGTTAAAGGCGCCTTGAGTGAGAAATTACCTTTGACGCTAAATATTTTTAGATACATGCCGAGAAAATAGATAATTACACGTCTGGCAAATACTGTTCTATTAGGATGAAAAAAGGCGAGAGTGATAGTAATAACTGCGATGATGACGATGATGATAAATGTGATAATAAAATATTGACAAACATCCTAATATATTGAATAATAATAACCTATAGATGGATAGAAGTCGTATAGTTTTAATGTTTTCAAAGACCACAGCTGCTCGGCATTTAACATATTGTTATCTCTGTCGATCAAAACTTAGAATTATGACATCATCATTATTTCGAATCAGCCAACCAAGCGAGAGATGGGGACAAATAACATAACGTTTAGTCAATTCATTAGATTGTCTCATCCGACGGTTGTCAAGAAAATTTTTTCCATTCACAACGGTTTCTAATTATTTTTGCTTCATTTTTCTTGTTTTATTTCTTGTTTTTGTCTCTCGATGTAAGTTTGTATCGTTTTGTCTTTTGACAGTTATCAGTAATTGGCAAGCGTTTAGTTACGATCAAGCGACCAAAAAAAAAATTAAATATTGACGCT